AATCCTGCCAAGACAGCAATGGTACTTTTCACAAGGAAGTATAAAACTCTCTTATTTAAACCTCCCACCTAAAGGGGGTGGCACTTACTCTCTCAACCGAGGTGAAATACCTTGTTGTTATTCTGGACAGGAAGCTGGACTGGAAGCGAAACATTGAAGATCGCTCCAGGAAGGCCAATACTGCCCTGTATGCCTGCAAGGCGGCTATAGGCAAAAAATGGGGAATAAAACCACATATAGTACACTGGATGTACACAGCTGTGATAAGACCCATCCTTTTCTACGGGGTCNTGGAACGTGTGAAGAGGACGGCTGCCATGCTCGTCACGGGAGCCCTGCCCACCACACCCACCAAATCTCTGGAAATAATCTCAAATCTTCCACCTGTGGATCTCTACGGCAAATTTCAGGCCGGCTACAGGGCGGCCAGGCTAAATATAATACAGCCGTGGAGAGACCTCAGATTCTGGCACGCAAAAGTACTTGAAACTCTACCGGATAATCTACGACAAATAGATTATACCACTCCACTACTCTGTTTAGATAACAAATTCTCCACAAGAATCCCAGAGAGGAACGAGTGGGAAACGCCCACAGACCTGAACCTAGGGTCTACGGCCATATATACAGATGGTTCCAAGCTTAACAAAAGAGCGTAGCGGGATCTACTCTGGCGAACTCGCTCTAAGTCTCAGTTTTCGCTTACCGGTCCATTGCAGCGTTTTTCAAGCGGAATTAAACGCCATAATGGAGGCGGCTCGGTGGCTTATAACCTCCGCGCCTCCAGGACGGCCTATCTCTATCTATTCTGACAGCCAGGCTGCTATCAAATCTCTCAATTCTAACGAAGGAACGTCCAAAGTAGCCATCGAATGCAGGAAGACTCTCAACCTGCTGGCATCAAAATGCTCCTTGACTGTTGTATGGGTCCCAGGACACAGGGACATCCCTGGCAACTGCCTAGCCGACGAGCTGGCAAGGAGGGGGACGGAAATATCTGTAGTCAATTCTGCTCGGAATGCGGGCATACCTCTAACCTCCTGCAAACACAGACTAAAGGCGAAACTCGTTGAGGAGGTAATATAAGATGGGCTGTGGAAATCACCTGTCATATTACCAACATGCGCAACCAATTCTTCAACAAGTACTTTGTAGATTGTTTAGCCGATTTGAACTCGGCGAACGCTCTCGACTTTTTGTGCTGTATAAAACANGAAAGAAACAAATGGCTTCGGCCAGTGGTACACAACGGGTTTTTCCAGCCCACGTGTGCTCCGCGCTCTGCGCGGGGCAGCCACTCTAACCTAACCTAACCTAACCTTGGTACAAACACAGGGTTGTATATCTCATATATTTAAATAGCCAATTTTGGACATTAAAGTGCAGTTCAAATGTCTGATCTGAAAATGAATTGTTGAAGTCAATCAACAATTTACTTAAATAGGCCATCTGAAATGGGGCCTTTGAGTCAGTCAGCTACTTAGTTATTTACCATTTCATACATTTCTCTAACAAATATTTTAATTTAAAACTAATTATTTTTCATTTCTATCACTTGCAGATCACCACATCCACTGCCAAGAAGCTATGGGAGAAATCCGATGGCAAAGGTACCACTTCGGGTGGCGTAACCGGTGGTCCTTTAAATCCACTACACATACCCGGCGTAGGCGATCATCCAGTTTGGAAAGACTCTACATGGTCAACACAAGGCGAAAATATACTGGCACCGCCACGCCCGCGTACTTTTCCACAAGCACCAGATACGAATACGAGCACCAATGCCGGCATTTTGAGGTGAGTAAAGCTATTTTTGATATCAAGTATACGTAAAAGTTAAACGGATTTTTTTTGGGGTCAGT